TCCAGCCTACCGCCCTCCTTGGACCCTCCGTCCTTCATCTATCCCCGTCCTCGCCTGTCCTGCCCCTTCTTTCCCTCCATCAAACCAACCCCAACCCGGAGTCTCGCCCCAACGGTAGGCTCCACTGCCAAAGCACAGCCACCCAATGGCAGATTCCTAGAATCCCTTCGGCCCCACTCAAATATTAACCCCAAATCTCGCCTAGACTCAATAGACCCCAGTCCTTCGAGGGCTCACTTCATTAAGGCTCTGCCTCAGCTTCCCAGGGCCTCATCTTCCTTAGATCTCATCTGACCAGAACCCTACTCCATTGCCTCCCCTTCCTGAATGCCTGTCTTCCCACCATCTTGTCCCAGCTCCATTAGTTCCTGCTCCTTTGAAGGAGCTAAGTAGGCCCTCACAAACAATCTGCCCTTAGGGCCGGCCCGGGGCTCACTCGGGAGAGTGTGGTGCTGATAACACCAAAGCCACAGGTTCGGATCCCTATATAGGGATGGCCGGTTGGCTCACTCGGTAGAGCGTGGTGCTGACAATACCAAGTCAAGGGTTAAGATCCCCTTACCGGTTTTATCTTTAAAAAAACAAAAAAAGCCAATCTGCCCTACCCCACCAGGGCATTTTTCTCCATTAATCCGGCCAGTTCCAGACCAGCCCCAGCCCCTTTTGGGCCATTTCCCTTGTCTCATTAGGCCTTGGCTTCTCCTTGGCCCACCTCCTCATTGACCCACCTGGGACAGCAGGTCCCGCCCATATCCCAAGCTCTGCCTCCACGAAGTGTCACCCAGATTTATTGGCTCCGCCCCTTTAACGTTGGCCTCGAGGATAGCCAATGGGGGCCGCGCCCAGCCCCCTTTAGTCCCATCTCCTCAAACCCCGGTCAGTCCCCTCAGGGTCCACATCCTCATTGATCCGCACTAGACTACACCCAGGTCAGGCCCCGCCCCATGAACTGACGTCAGCCTCATTAGGGTTCTCCCAGTTTAAGGCCGGTGCCCCTGGCCAGGCTAGCCCAGCCTAATTCACGCTCCCAGGTCAGCCTCCAGGTTAATTCCATTCTATCAGTGTTGGGCCACGCCCCTTTCGCGAGGCCCCGCCTTACCTGATGGCGCTAATGACTCCGCCCAGGATGCGCATGGCCGTTCCGCCTCCTCCTCCGCCGCCGCCGCCGCCTCCGCCGCCGCCCCCGGCCCCGCTGATCAGGCCTCCGAGCACATTCCCCAGGCCCCCGCCCAGGCCCCCGCCTCCACCGCCACCACCACCGCCACCGCCCTTCAAGAACGAGTTAACCAGGAACATGGCTGCGATTCAAGACTGCCGAGGGGGGAAAAGAGAATAAGGTGGATGCCTCGGCCCTGGGCCCACCCTCTGCCCCCCAAATACGCATTGCCAGCAGCTGGGCGTCGCGGGGGAATCAGGCCTCCGAGTGGAGGCCAATCCTCCGGCTGGGGATCTGGGTTTCTGAGGGCGGATGGGTGGGAAACCCTCACAGGTCTAAAATGTACCCTTCAGGTTTGAGAGACCCTGGACTGAGTGCACGCATAGGCATCATTAAGTTAGGTGTACAGGTCTGGTGGGAGTTCTTCATAAGTGGGCTCCAAATTGGTGTAAGGCGCACCCGACATGTCTGGGCGTTCCAAAGTGAGATCCAGAGCCCCAGAACTGAATTTAAGGGTCCTTGGCAGGTCGGGGGCGCGGATCATATATCCTCGGCCTGGAAGTCCCCGAGGCGGGGTTTAGGAAATCCTGAATGTGAGTTTGAGCGTTTAGGTACTCCCAGCAGAGGGATTACAATGTCACCGCTGGGTTTGTGGGTCTAAGATCGTGGCTGTGAACCCCAGCCCCCGGGATAATAGGGTCCTCACTGGAATTGAGAGCAAGGATCTAGGATCGCGTTTCTGGATGCCGCAAGGAAAAATTTACAGGGTACCTCTCAAATATATAGACTTGTATCTTAGATCATGAGATGGGGAGTGGAAAAGGGTCCCCGGGACGGGATAACAGGGATTGGACAGATCTGGGGGTTTTCATCTGAGATCACGGGTCTGCGGGCAGCCGGGGCTGGAATTACGGGGTACAGGGGGAGTCCGGGCGCTCACCGCCTCACTTACAAGTCCGGCGATCCGGCGATCCGTTCTGCTGCCCTCAGGCCTCCCGCTGCG